TGTATGACGGACTCAGACAGATTCCTTTGACTAAGCTCCTATTTAGTCCAAAGCCTCCAGTGTTTACAGACACTGTTGTCCGTAACAATGGCTACCAATTCTGAAGAATTCCCTTTGAGCTCTTCCCCAATGCAGCCTATCTGCTCATCCACTTATTTATCTGCAGGCAGCACCTCATTTCTTGCACCAGACGAGAGGCAGATGGGACCCCCTTCCAATTTTTTTCCTGCCTCCTTCCAATTTCTGTAAGAAATAACAGGAACTTAAGCCAGTGACAGCTCAATCTTTCTGTGCGCATCCATTGAGTTCCGTTGGACTAATTTTCAGCTGAACGAGAAGAGAAGAAGGATGAGAAGTGGATTTCTGTAGAAAAATTGAGGCTCTTGCCAAGTTCGGTTAAACTATTACAGCCATCTTGAGACTTTGGAGTATGTGGAAGCTTGTGTTAGGCTTTCTGGGATATGCTGGGCTGTAGCTTTTGACTTGAAAGAACAATTATATATCATTTAAAACATCATCATTCATTCTCTTTCCTCTCCATTTTTTTACAGGTACTTTAAAAAGAGAAAGAGACTCCCAGATAAAAATTTCTGGAAATTGGAAGCGCTTTTATGTTTTCCGTTGGTCTTTTGTGATAGAAGAAGAGGACCTCTGCACATTTATATAGCTTTCTAATAGCATTAAAAACCAATGCCCTTTTTTGGCTCTTATTATTATTATTATTATTTTATTATCCTATTTTTGATGTACATATCTTGTTAAGAAAAGAAAGAAAAAAGAAAAAAAGGAAAAAAACCTACTCTTTATTTTGTGTCTTACGACTTCAAAAGTCTCATTTTTATTTTTATTTTATTTGTTTGGCGATGTCAAACAATTCCTGAAGACTGAAGCTGAGCTTTCAGTACCAAGTTGCAATCCTGTAGCAACTACCTGGTAAGCACTAAATAATTAGCATTTCTTCTTTTTTTTAATGTGTGTGTTTTTTTTTTGGAAAAATAGATCAGGAAAACAGATTGTTTCCCAGTTTTAAAAAAACAAACAAAGAAAAATTGTGTCATGATTTCTTGTACATATATTATATAAAAGATTTTTTTATACTGGAACTGAATGGAAAAAAATCTGTAAATTGACCCATCATCATTCTCTAAAGAGAAATAAATACTTTTATTCAGAGAATTACAATTTTTAGAATAATGTACTATAATTTAAGGCAAGGCCTTATCTCAATTACTGAGCATTAGGCAGAGATAATATTGTTCAGTGAAAGTAGTGAACACAGAATGTCGAAGCTGCTACAAGCCTTTGTTAAGTTTATTGGGAAATTTATTTGCACTCTGACACAATTACGGAAGCACTTCAATGAGAGTGCAGTTTTCCTACATCTGATTTGGAGCCTCCGTCCTCCTTTTTGTAAAATGGGGAAATCATGACCTACCTCACAGGGCTGTTGTGAGGATGAGCTTAATACAAAAAATGGAAAGTACTTTTTCAATGAAATGGTTTTCCCAAATAAATAAGACATGGATGCACAAAAAATGAATGATAATTATTACTTGTATGACAGTAAGTGACGTAGGATAGTCTTGATAGTTCAGTGGTGTTTATTCATCAAGGATGAAAAATTATATATTTCATTTTCAGTTAAAAGATTATAGTAATTAGATAGACGATAGATTTGATAGATATTCTTTAATACAGCCATTGACCAGATCACACGCAATAATAACAACAGGAAATTGTCTATATCACAAGGTAAACGCTGGATCCTGTCAGCTAAAGTTAAAGTTAACCGTCCCAGGTTCTCTTCTCGGAAAAGACAACACCTGGGGTGGAAGACCTTATAAGAGGGTAGTCTCCACACTAGGTGTGGGTATGAGGACCGGAAGATCTCGGATTTTAGGACCGAGACGAGGAACCAGACCCAGAGGTTGACGATATAACCCCTACCGACTGTCCTATCTCTTTTAAGAGTTGGGTCACTGCCCATCATCTTGGTTTTTAATTTATTTTTTTAACTTTTTATTCTAATTGTAATTATTTTTTTTAGCACTTTAAAACTTTTATTATATCATAAGTCACTTAGAATCATTGTATTATTGAGATGGGCGGCATATAAATTTAATCAATCAAAGGGAATGAAAGGTCTAGATAAGACTGAATAAGTCAGCCATCTCCAACCTGGCATCCTCCAGCTGTTTAAACCAATAACTCCTCAAATTCTTAACCAACTTGACCATGAATTTTAACACTCATAGAGGCACCATGTTGAGCATAATGGAAATGAATAGTAATTTTTCTGTTTCACTGCAAGATAACCTTTTGAGGTCCATCCCTATGATGAGATAAAGTTAAGGATTTGCTTCTGATAGATAACATTGGGCGTCAGTAGATTCCTGGTGGAAAACAAAGCTAGATTCTCCTGAACATGCCTTTCGACTCCTAAATGAGCCTGTTTCTTCAGACATGGCCAAGGACATTGTTCAAATGCAGATATGGAAGAGTTGCAGATAAAATTGGATGAGGAGTTTTTTTTCCCTCAAGATGCAACGCACTTTAGCTTTATCTTCTCATGTTGGCCAGACAACTTTAGAAAAGCTGCATCCTGTGTCCAGTTCTGGTCACTATGATACAAAAAAAGTTGAGACCCTAAAAAGGGTGCAGAAATGAGTAACAATGATTATTAAGGGACCAGAGATTAAGCCATATGATAAATGATTAAGGAAAATAGGTATGTCTAGTCTAACAAAGAGAAGGACTTGGGGTGATATGTTAGTAATCTTCCAGTATTGAGGGGCTGTCATAGACAAGAGGGGATCGACCTATTATCCAAAGCACCTTAGGGTAGAACAAGAAGTGGCAGGTGGAAGATCATTAAAGAGAAAAGCAACCTAGAACTCAGGAGAAATTTCCTGACAGTGAGAACAATTAACCGTTGGAACAGCTCCCCTCCAAAGGTTCTGGTTGCTCCAACACTGGATGTTTTTTAAGAAGAGACTGGACAGCCATTTGTCCAGAATGGTATAGGATTTCCTTCTTGAGCAGAGAGTTGGAATAGAAGACCTCCAAGGTCCCTTCCAATACTATTTATTATTCTTTGTTTTATGTCTGTTTTGATTAGAATTTCTCACCATCTTACAAGCTTATTGCAGACACCAACATCGTTTAGTGCAGTGGTTCTCAACCTGTGGGTCGGGACCCCATTTGGGGTCGATCGACCATTTCACGGGGGTCACCAAGCAAGGCTGTCTGCCATTTTTTTTGTCCGCCATTTTTTCCCCCTTTTCCGGCGGGTGCCTTACCTCCCTTGGGCTGGGCCAGCTGGTGGTCGGCCTGCTCTGTCTCTGCCGCTTGCCAGCTACGCCTCAACCGGCGCAGGGGGCGGAAGCACGCATGCGCAGCATTCCCGGGCAGGGAAAGTCCTCGACTTACGACCAGTTGGGTAGTCCTCGACTTACGACCAGTTTAGTCCTCGACTTACGACCGGTTTAGTCCTCGACTTACGACCGGTTTAGTCCTCGACTTACGACCGGTTGGGGTCGCGGCATTAAAAAGGTTGAGAACCACTGGTTTAGTGCTTGGGGAGAGCTAATTAATTGCAAATTAAACAAAGTTGACTATATTGGCTGAAAATTCTGAGAACTAATGGAGATCTCAGATTGGAGAAGGCTAATCTAGTTGTTGAAGTGAGAATGTTTGAGAAAGCCAACCTTTTACAAACACAAAAGAGGGCCTGAATTCACCCTGGGTTTTCTGTAAGATCAAAGCACAGTTATTAAGTTTCCCATTTCTTGGTTTTAAAGAAAAATTTTAATCTGCATTTGAAGATGTATATTTGAGAATAAAAAAAATGGAAAATTGCCTATTGGGAGAAAAATTAGCAAATATATATTTAAATACAGATTTGAAGATACAGATTTTTTTTTTTAGGAATTGCACATTACTAGGGAAGTGAGACAGAATGGCTTTCAGCTGAATGGCTGTAAAAGTGACAGAACACTTTCTTACTCCTGCTTTGAGGGTAGAGATGTTCAACTCCCTGCTGTGCTGCTCGTCTTCCATTGCTAGTTTGTACCATTCTCCCTTAGCAAATAATGTCTGCTTGGGGAATCTCTACCAATTATCAGGCTTGTTGGTAGCTAAATTGTGTGGAAAAGCTGATTTGGGAACAGTGTCCAGCAAAAACCATTCATCTAGTAGACTTGGAACCTGATGAGATTTTCAGAGCCTGGTTACAGAGAAACTACACTCAGGGCATGATTATTTTTCATAAATTTGGCCTCTAAAATGAATTTTAATGGCTTTATACTAATGTGCACTGAACAACTTATTTTTTTATTTACTCAGCTTCTATCTTGACTGTCTAAACTGAACACTTAATCGAGTTCTGTCTATGATCTTTCCTACTTCTGCCTCTCGTTGGACTAAGTGGGTCCTAAGGAGACTTATTTCACCCTTAGCTGTACCAACGTTATAAAGTCATATTGTCCTTGTCTTGTTATTAGGTTGATGACCGAGCTTTATTTTTGTGCCACACATGAATGTCATGATCCCACCTTGGTGAGGCCACATATGGAATATTGCATACAGTTCTCGTCACCACGATACAAAAAGGATGCTGAAACCCTAGAACAGGGGTCTTCAAACTTGGCCCTTTTATGACTTGTGGACTTCAACTCCCAGAATTCGTCAGCCAGGCACGCTGGCTGAGGAATTCTGGGAGTTGAAGTCCACAAGTCATAAAAGGGCCAAGTTTGAAGACCCTGGCCCTAGAAAGTCTGGAGGCTACATTGTATGATGAACGTTTGAGGGAGCTAGGTATGTCTAGTCTAGCAAAGAGAATGTTTAGGGGTGATACGATAGCTGTCTTCCATTACTTGAGGGGCTGTCACAGAGAAGACCTCTGAGGTCCCTTCCAGCCTTGTGATTCTATGTTCTATGTTCCACGTTCTGTGTAAGGACAAATGCAATGTGAAAATGCTTAGGCACGACGTGGGGGAGTATGGTGTGCTTTGAACACACAATGGGGGTGTCTCCACACATTGTTAGTAGGTTGGCCTTGTCATGTTTGTTCTGTCAGACCAGTTCTATCACTGTGCATGTTGATGCTAGGAGAATTTATGTGCAGTAAGTTTTGTCCAATAATATATATATATGGATATCTCGGAAAGTCTTTTCTATCCAACAGAAAATTCCAGCATCAACAAACAAATCTGTTCTGCAGTTTTTTTGTAAAAGTGCTATAAGATATATTTGTTTTAATAAAAGCTGTAAGAGGCAAGAAGTCTCTCGGTGAGATGGGACTGAATCAAAGGGCAAGGCAATTGCAAACATTACAATCCTTCACATGGAGTTTGTTACCACATGAAAATTAAATCAGTGTGACAAATTCTGCATTCTGGATGGCAGTTGTATTTACTATGCCTTAGCAGTACAGCAGTATTTTCAAAAACATTTATGGCCCAAATTTATTAAGTGTGAACGACAATTCTGATTCAATTAAAAAAACCCCACCAACTTTGAATTATCTCCTATTCTTGAAGAAAAGGAGTCTTATATTTTCCCAGGAAATGAAAATTCAATTAAGTTATGCAACAGAATCAGAGAAGAGGAAAAATTCAGAATGTTTTCTTAAATAATACGCTGAATATCTGCTGGTGCTAGAATTCAGCTTTTTACCATCGTCTTGATAGCTGAGTTCCCATGGCAATTGACTTGTTTGTAGCTTGGCAAGTTTTGAAAACCTGAAAACTTTACAGACCAGAATAAACCATGGCTTGTCATTTAGTGTATTCTGTGAATGCAACCAATTCTGATTTATTCAGTAAAGCAAGCTGGGCATCCCATGATCTTCAGGAGTCCATTTGTAGCCTTGCCCCTCCCCCTCTATTGTAAAATAACAAAATTTGGGTAGTTTGATTGTGGTCTGTCTTTCCAGGTTTGGGGTGGATATGAAGATGGACATGGAAATATACTCCTGGAAGATTAATGATTATAATGAAAACACATCTAAACTAGGCCCTAAATAGAATACTGTTGCTGCTTTTGTCTACCTAACCTTATTCTCAATTGTCATCCAAATCCTTATTTCCCCATCACACTAAGTTAGAGAAAAGTGAGCAACCTATTCTTGTCATGCCAATAAAGGAGAATATTTGTATTCAGGGTTGAAATGAGGGGTCCTTGAAGCTCTCTGAGCTTGGTTGTTTTCTTGCAGACATTTCATTACCCAAACTAGGTAACATCATCAATGTTAGGTGATGATGTTACCTAACATTGATGATGTTACCTAGTTTGGGAAATGAAACGTCCGCAAGAAAACAAGCTCAGAGAGCGCCAAGGACCCCCCTCCTATTCTTGTCAAAAATATCAACTGAATTCAAAAGAGTGCATTTCATTGAGCATATGTATAACTCTTTATTAATGATAAGAGCAGCAAAACAAACATCTTTTCTGCTCTTACCATATTCATGGACACTGACAGCCAATTGTCAGCCTTATTTAGATGATCTGGTCCCTCCTAGATATAGAGGACTTAA